CCAAGACATGTCTGGATTGATCAAGTTCAAACTTCACACACACATGGTGCATCATGTCACAAATAGATATGTGCATTTGTTTCATGATCCGCTTAACAATAGCTGAATGATGGCCATTTTAAGACCGAAAATGCATTAAAATCACGTATTTTCACAATTCCGGAACCAGATCTCAGTCATGCATGGATGGATTTTGTTCAGATTTAGTACAATGTGTTGTACATATGCAGGTGCATTTCGGTCATGATCTGCTTTGAATGTATATGTCACTCAAATATGAACGGAACGGGGACGTGTCATTGACAATGACTTGTAATGTTAAAAAATCATATTCCTGACATGGTTATATTCCAGCTATATTACTATAAACAAAACTATATATCTTAAATTTGATAACTAACAGGGACTGTGCCATGCATGGCTTGTTCGTATTATGCGTGTTTGACGGCGGGGAAATCCTAATTCAAATGATTTCTCACTGTCGATTTATATTATTTCTGGTTTATTTGTCACATTATAAGCAATACATTCATTTTGTTTTACTTCTAATGTTGCATATGTTCATTTATTTCCGTTGCATGTTTTCGTTTGCCGTTCTATTCCCTGCCGCAGTTCGATCTGCGTGTTGTCAATTTTCGTTTTTTTGCCGGGGATCTCCTGGAAAACTCCCACCCCTATTTTTTGGCAATTTTCCATGTTCAGGATCCTGGGCTTATACCCAGATAAATATGGTATTAGAACAGAATGATAGAGTTTTACTAATTTAAAAAAGCACTTCAAAAACAAAGATTGCAGTGTTTGAAGATGTAGATTCTCAGGAGGCAACAGTACTGTTGACTTCTCTCTCACTGGACACCAACTAACTATTTAAGTTGATTTGCATACAAAACAGAGCGTCAACCAAGCTCGGTCAAACACAAGCACCTGCAGACCTTAACCAAGGTTCCCCCAAAGTCGCATTCGTTAGTGAATGAATCTCAGCCAGTGGATTGGCCTTCCCATTGAGTCTGTGGCACACTTACCCAGGGTAGGGGTTGACCCTTTTGATGTTCTGCCTAAGGTAGGATTTGAACTTGGGTCTATCGGTAGCTTGCAACATGTTATTCATAGAGAGTGTTGTTTTTTTCTCTCTAATAATACAGTAGTCACACAATGAATATAATAAGGCAGTTCATATTTGTCTCAGTGAATCATTAATTTTTGAAAGACACCTGTACAAAATACTTTGGCAAAAGCCAGCTAAGATTTTCTGTTGTTTTGCATGTTTTATAAATCTATTCATGTCTAAATGCAGCACTTTTTTTCTGAGATAAGACATTTGTTTTTATACTAAAATATCTGAATTACTTTGAATAATACTGGAAATTATGTCCCTTAAAATAATTAAACAAATTAGACACCAGTGTTTTTGTAAGATATTTACATCTATCAAGGACATATGGTAGACTACTTTCCTACTGCTGTTTCAATCCTAAAATTATGACAATTCATATTGAAACAAACTATGATAAAGGAAATAATATTATACAACAAAGGGCAAGGTTACCAGAGTTCAACTATGTTTAAATTTATTTTAGACCCCTCTCCCCACTCCTAAATACATTCACTTATGTGCATCATTCACTTAAAAATATAAAAAAAAAATTTTTCAGTGCAAAAAAGAAGAAGGGTGAAAAGGGAGGTAAAGGACTTAGGCATTTTTCAATGAAAGTTTGTGAAAAAGTTCAGAAGAAAGGTGTGACATCTTATAATGAAGTAGCCGATGAATTAGTTGGAGAATTTAGTGACCCCACAAGGATCATGTCACCCACAGATCAGGTAATGTACCCAATGACACCTACCATTAGCACGTCATCAACGGATCAGATAAGATACCTAGTGATCCCTTTACAACTAGCACATCACCCACAGATATAACATACCCAGTGACACCTACCACTAGCATGTCACTCACAGATCTGGTAACATACCCAGTGATCTCTCTACAACTAGCACATCACCCACATATTAGGTAACGTACCCAGTGACACCACTATCATGTCACCCACAGATCAGGTAACATACCCAGTGATCCCTCTACAACTAGCATGTCGCCCACAGATCAGGTAACATACTCAGTGATCCCTCTACAACTATCATGTCACCCACGGAACAGGTGACATACCCAGTGACACCTACCACTAGCATGTCACTCACCGATCTGGTAACATACCCAGTGATCCCTCTAAAATTAGCATGTCACCCACAGATCAGGTAACATACCCAGTGATCCCTCTACAACTAGCATGTCGCCCACAGATCAGGTAACATTCTCAGTGATCTCTATACAACTAGCATGTCACCCACGGAACAGGTGACATACCCAGTGACATCTACCACTAGCATGTCACCCACAGATCAGGAAACATACTCAGTGACACCTACCACTAGCATGTCACCCACAGATCAGGTAACATTCTCGGTGATCCCTCTACAACTAGCATGTCGCCCACAGATCAGGTAACACATACCCAATGATCCCTCTACAACTAGCATGTCACCTTCAGATGAGGTAACATACCTAATGACACCATGACACCTACATTTAGCATGTCACCCACAGATCAGGTAACATACCCAGTGACCCCTACAACTAGCATGTCACCCACAGATCAGGTAACACACTCAGTGATCCCTCTACAACTAGCATGTCGCCCACAGATCAGGTAACATACCCAGTGATCCCTCTACAATTAGCATGTCACCCACAGATCAGGTAACATACCCAGTGACCCCTACAACTAGCATGTCACCCACAGATCAGGTAACACACTCAGTGATCCCTCTACAACTAGCATGTCGCCCACAGATCAGGTAACATACCCAGTGATCCCTCTACATTTAGCATGTCACCCACAGATCAGGTAACATACCCAGTGACCCCTACAACTAGCATGTCACCCACAGATCAGGTAACACACTCAGTGATCCCTCTACAACTAGCATGTCGCCCACAAATCAGGTAACATACCCAGTGATCCCTCTACAATTAGCATGTCACCCACAGATCAGGTAACATACCTAATGACACCTACAATTAGCACGTCGCCCACAGATCAGGTAACATACCCAGTGATCCCTCTACAATTAGCATGTCACCCACAGATCAGGTAACACATACCCAGTGATCCCACTACAATTAGCATGTCACCCACAGATCAGGTAACATACTCAGTGATCCCTCTACAATTAGCATGTCACCCACAGATCAGGTAACATACCCAGTGATCCCTCTACAATTAGCATGTCACCCACAGATCAGGTAACATACTCAGTGATCCCTCTACAACTAGCATGTCACCCACAGATCAGGTAACACATACCCAGTGATCCCTCTACAACTAGCATGTCACCCTTAGATGAGGTAACATACCTAATGACACCTACATTTAGCATGTCACCCACAGATCAGGTAACATACCCAGTGACCCCTACAACTAGCATGTCACCCACAGATCAGGTAACATACTTAGTGATCCCTCTACAACTAGCATGTCACCCTCAGATGAGGTAACATACCTAATGACACCATGACACCTACAATTAGCATGTCGCCCACAGATCAGGTAACATACCCAGTGATCCCTCTACAATTAGCATGTCACCCACAGATCAGGTAACATACCTCATGACACCTACAATTAGCATGTCGCCCACAGATCAGGTAACATACCCAGTGATCCCTCTACAATTAGCATGTCACCCACAGATCAGGTAACATACCTCATGACACCTACAATTAGCATGTCGCCCACAGATCAGGTAACATACCCAGTGATCCCTCTACAATTAGCATGTCACCCACAGATCAGGTAACAAAGTCAGTGATCCCTCTACAATTAGCATGTCACCCACAGATCAGGTAACAAAGTCAGTGATCCCTCTACAACTAGCATGTCACCCACAGATCAGGTAACATACCTAGTGATCCCTCTACAACAAGCATGTCACCCTCATATGAGGTAACATACCCGGTGATCCCTCTACAATTAGCATGTCACCCACTGATCACTTAAGTGTAACATCTATATGTTGGCTTTTTTGTCATACTAGGCATATGATCAGAAAAACATCCGGAGACGAGTTTACGACGCTTTAAATGTTCTGATGGCTATGAACATTATTTCAAAAGAAAAAAAAGAAATTCGGTGGATTGGCTTGCCAACAAATTCAGCTCAGGAATGTGCTAATTTGGAATTAGAAAAGAAACAGAAAGAAGACAGAATAAGACAGAAGACACAACAATTACAAGAACTCATTTTACAGGTACCAAAGAGAGTAAATGTTAAATTACTGTGTTTCTTAATGAATTGCATTCGGCTCTGCACAATAAAATGGTTGACCAGATAAAATATATATTTATAGAAAATAAACAATTGCATATTGTACTTTTGTTTTCTCACCACTGCATATGATTGTCTGCAGCAAATTGCCTTCAAGAACCTTGTACAAAGGAATAAAGTTATGGAGAAGACAAGTACTGGTCCTCCCACACAGAATTCAGCCATACATCTACCGTTTATAATTGTAAATACCAGTAAAAAGACTGTTATTGACTGCAGCATCTCAAATGATAAGTAAGTTGTTCATGTCTCTTCTTTGCCCTGTCACATGTCACAAGTTTTAATCCCCTTATTATCTCCAGTGACCACCTGGACCTGTATTCAGTCTACAAGAGTATATTCATTCATCATCTAAATACAGTTACATAACAATAAATTCATTTTCGGAAACAAAAATCATTTCCAATCCACCTTAGAATTATCTTTCTTTGACATGACATGCAGGCAACATCCTTCTGTTACAGCGCCTCATTTGGTAAATATTGTCTCCAGCTAGGGTGCCTTCTTCTTGACCTAGAGAATTTGACCTCTTTGTAATTGAGACAGTTTTTGCTGTCAAAAACACTGGAAGTCAGAATGGAACTAGGAGGCAATTTGTAATCAGGTTGTGGTTAATAATAAGATGTTAACGGTACAAGTACAGTCAAACCTATTATCCAAACACCGATTATCTGAATTACGGATTATCTGAACTATTATTGAAGTCCCATGTGTATTTTACTGGCCGACCATTCATGGAACTGGACTGTATTTTCAAGTGCCCTTGTTTGTAAACAAAATATTTGGGCATCCCGCAAATACACGTTCCTAGAAAAGTGTTCTTGTCACCTCTTTGTTTTGACGAACTTGCTAAGTTACGTCTTTTGTTTACCATGATTAACGTGGTGTTACAGACACACACTTGATCATCGCGTGTTTAGCACAACCGAGTCGGACAGTCATTCATTCACTCATGGGTTCTTTGCTTTGCGTGAATAAAAAAATCACAGATAAAAATGATTGATGTGCAAAATGATTTAAAACTCTAACATTTGCTGGAGTACTTATCTATGCTTATATCCACGCTATTTTAACCAGTTCATCTATGAATAGAAAATGTACACCACTAACCATCGAGCAGAAGAAATGACCTGATAAGGGAGAAAAAACTGCAAAGCTGGTGAGAGAATACAACAACAGGCGAACAACAGTTTCAGATATTAAAAAAGCATGACAAACAATCGAGAAATTTATAAGTCACAGTACTACAGCGAGCGCTCTAAAAAAAAGTCTATGAAACCATCAGATCACACCGTATTAAATGGATGATTACAATGATTCAAAGATCAGCATGACATTAGAAAACTCAGTGTGTCTGTATACGACCGTGATGTCAAAGAATATCGTCAGCAACTGCAAGTTATATTTCAAGAAGGAAATTATGAACTTGAATGATGAGAGTTTTGGCGTGCTTTGCCAGACATTTCCAGTGAAATATAAATCACAAAACGAGGCTTGGATGACTTATGATTTATTTTCATCATGGTTTCTGAACGAATTTGTACCGGTGGTGCGATCACATTTAGGATGGGACTCCCACAGCTTGTTGACAATACCAGTTCACACAGTATGAAGGGCAGCCAATTAGAATCACCAGATGGTAACAGTGTTGCATTTTGCCACCAAACACAACATCTAAGTTGCAACCACTAGATCAAGGATTCATCGCAATCATGGGAAATCATTACTGTCCAAACATGCTACGTGCCATTGTTTATGACAACATTAAAGACAAGAATTTGAAGAAATAGTCAAAACATTTACGGACGCATTGTTTATGATCACCAATTCATGAATTCTTATCAATCCATCGATCGTGGTGGGGTATTGGTACAACGGACTTGATGTTGGCGATCATCCAGTGTCATTAATTTTACGTTAATTTAACGTTCAGATCGTTTAATGCACCATCAATTAACCAAACAAATACGTCACCACCCCCTGTGTTCAGATAATCAAGGTTTGACTGTACATCATGAATTACACATGACAACTGATGACTTGTCTGTATCATTGCAGGTTTGAATATTTATTTAACTTTGATAATACTTTTGAAATCCATGATGATATTGAGGTTCTTAAACGTATGGGTATGGCTTATGGTTTGGAAGCTGGAAAATGTAGTGAAGATGATTTGAAAACTGCCAGAACTATGGTACCCAAAGCTCTGGAACCATATGTATTGGGTGAGTAGGTGTATTCATTAGTGAGAAAGGAATCAGTAGACTATTTTATTGGGTTGATAGGTACCTGCAGGCACATTCAACAGTGAGAAGGGAACCAGTAGGCTATTTTTATTGGGTTGATAGGTACCTGTAGGCACATTCATCAGTGAGAAGGGAACCAGTAGGCTATTTTTATTGGGTTGATAGGTACCTGCAGGCACATTCATCAGTGAGAAGGGAACCAGTAGGCTATTTTTATTGGGTTGAATGATACCTGCAGGCACATTGTCGAGCGGAGCTTATCATATGAGTGATTGTCCGTCGTCGTCGTCCGTGTCAATGTTTTACTTTTTTGACTTCTTCTTCAAAACTACAAGCCTGAATGCTTTGATACTTGGTGTATATGTACCTTGGGTAGACCTCTCTTAGGTTTGTTCATTTCATGTTGATATCTTCAATTCTCTAATTTTGGTGAATATTTTTGTCATTTTTGGTAAAAAGTGATATTTTCGACTTCTTGTTAAAAACCACAAGTGCAATTGCTTTGATATTACATATATAGGTACTACATGTGGACCTCTCTCAGATTTGTTCATTTTGTAATGATATCTTTAATTCTCTAATTTTGGTGAATATTTTTGTAATTTTTGGTAAAAAGTGATATTTTCCACTTTTGTTAAAAACCAATAGTACAATTGCTTTGATATTACATATTTAGATACTGCATGTAGACCTTTCTCAGATTTGTTCGTTTCGTGATGATATCTTCGATTCTATAATTTTGGTGAATATTTTTGTCATTTTTGGTAAAAAGTGATATTTTCGACTTCTTGTAAAAAACCAATAGTCTGATTGCTTTGATATTACATCTATAGGTACTACATGTGGACCTCTCTCAGATTTGTTCATTTCGTGATGATATCTTCGATTCTATAATTTTGGTGAATATTTTTGTCATTTTTGGTAAAAAGTGATATTTTCGACTTCTTGTAAAAAACCAATAGTCTGATTGCTTTGATATTACATATATAGGTACTACATGTGGACTTCTCTCAGATTTGTTCATTTTGTGATGATATCTTCAATTCTCTAATTTTGGTGAATATTTTTGTCATTTTTGGTAAAAAGTGATATTTTCGACTTCTTGTTAAAAACTGCAAGTCCGATTGCTTTGATACTATACATATTGTTCATTTTCTAATGATGTCTTCAGTTCTTTAATTGAAATGTGCATTGCTAACAGCGGAGCTATCTCAGCCGATAGGCTGCTTGTTATTGGGTTGATAGGTACCTGCAGGCACATTCATCAGTGAGAAGGGAACCAGTAGGCTATTTTTATTGGGTTGATAGGTACCTGCAGGCACATTCATCAGTGAGAAGGGAACCAGTAGGCTATTTTTATTGGGTTGATAGGTACCTGCAGGCACATTCATCAGTGAGAAGGGAACCGGGAGGCTATTTTATTGGGTTGAATGGTACCTGCAGGCATATTCATCAGTGAGAAGGGAACCAGTAGGCTATTTTATTGGGTTGAATGATACCTGCAGGCGCATTCATTGGTGAGAAGGGAACCAGTAGGCTATTTTTAGCTCCGCTGTTGACTTTGTCAAGCGGAGCTTATCATATGAGTGATTGTCCGTCTGTGTCCGTCGTCCGTGTCAATGTTTTACTTTTTCGACTTCTTCTTGAAAACTACAAGCCTGAATGCTTTGATACTTGGTGTATATGTACCTTGGGTAGACCTCTCTCAGATTTGTTCATTTCATGATCATATCTTCAATTCTCTAATTTTGGTGAATATTTTTGTCATTTTTGGTAAAAAGTGATATTTTTGACTTCTTGTTAAAAACCGCAAGTCCAATTGCTTTGATATTACATATATAGGTACTACATGTGGACCTCTCTCAGATTTGTTCATTTTGTAATGATATCTTTAGTTCTCTAATTTTGGTGAATATTTTTGTCACTTTTGGTAAAGAGTTATATTTTCGACTTCTTGTTAAAAACTGCAAGTCCAATTGCTTTGATATTACATATATAGGTACTACATGTGGACCTCTCTCTGATTTGTTCATTTTGTAATGATATCTTTAATTCTCCAATTTTGGTGAATATTTTTGTCATTTTTGGTAAAAAGTGATATTTTCGACTTCTTGTTAAAAACGACAAGTCCAATTGCTTTGATATTATTACATATATAGGTACTACATGTGGACCTCTCTCAGATTTGTTCATTTTGTAATGATATCTTTAATTATCTACAGTAATTTTGGTGAATATTTTTGTCATTTTTGTTAAAAAGTGATATTTTCTTCTTGTTAAAAACCACAATCATTTATGGTGAAAAATGATATTTTTGAATTTTTGTTGAAAACAGCAAGTCCCATTGCATTGATACTATGCATATTGTTCATTTTCTAATGATATCTTCTGTTCTATAATTGAAATGTGCATTGCAAACAGCGGAGCTATCTCAGCCGAGAGGCTGCTTGTTATTGGGTTGATAGGTACATGCAGGCACATTCATCAGTGAGAAGGGAACCAGTAGGCTATTTTTATTGGGTTGATAGGTACCTGCAGGCACATTCATCAGTGAGAAGGGAACCGGGAGGCTATTTTATTGGGTTGAATGGTAACTGCAGGCATATTCATCAGTGAGAAGGGAACCAGTAGGCTATTTTTATTGGGTTGAATGGTACATGCAGGCACATTCATCAGTGAGAAAGGGAACCAGTAGGCTATTTTTATTGGGTTGATAGGTACCTGCAGGCACATTCATTGGTGAGAAAGGAACCAGTAGGCTATTTTATTGGGTTGATAGGTACCTGCAGGCACATTCATCAGTGAGAAGGGAACCGGGAGGCTATTTTATTGGGTTGAATGGTAACTGCAGGCACATTCATCAGTGAGAAGGGAACCAGTAGGCTATTTTTATTGGGTTGATAGGTACCTGCAGGCACATTCATCAGTGAGAAGGGAACCAGTAGGCTATTTTTATTGGGTTGATAGGTACCTGCAGGCACATTCATCAGTGAGAAGGGAACCGGGAGGCTATTTTATTGGGTTGAATGGTAACTGCAGGCATATTCATCAGTGAGAAGGGAACCAGTAGGCTATTTTTATTGGGTTGATAGGTACCTGCAGGCACATTTATTGGTGAGAAAGGAACCAGTAGGCTATTTTTATTGGGTTGATAGGTACCTGCAGGCACATTCATCAGTGAGAAGGGAACCAGTAGGCTATTTTTATTGGGTTGATAGGTACCTGCAGGCACATTCATCAGTGAGAAGGGAACCAGTAGGCTATTTTTATTCGGTTGATATCGTATTACCCCGGGCACGCGACCAGGGGCCTGAACATACAAAATCGGGAAAAATTGGGGGTGGGCGCTTACCCGACACCACCCCAAAAAAGATTTTAAAAAGTTGTTTTTGTGATCGTATGATAAGGTCAAATAAAGGAATGCTTTCGTACACTTTGTACACGAACTTATTTCTTGATTTATGCGAGGTTTCAATAAACGTGAGCACTCAGTCAAGAACTGTGGGAACATAGGGTCGAATTTCATGAATAAAACTTGTTTTATGTCAGCGAATGAAGTTGTATTACTCACTGAAATTGGCTACAAAGTATGGTAAGTATTGTAATCAATGCACGGTTACTTTTTTAGTACCGATAACCGTGATCAGTGCAAGTCGAAACGGCCGGGAGAAACTACTGCTTGTAATCCAAGATGGCGATGACCTCATTAGCATAATTTTGTTCGTGCACGTATTGATACATCGCATCGTAATTACTGAAGAATAGCAGACAGGGTTATGAAACAAATAAACCTTTTATTACTGATGTGAAATATTTACAAACTATTGTGAATACATAAACATATCCAAATGGCGATACATAAAAAACAGACTGAAAATAAACTCTGGTCGACCTCATTAACATGATTTATTCACGCACCCACACACGTGACAAAATTACAAAAATAACGATGATGCAACAAGTTCCCATCGTCGGCATGCCTCATTATGGTTATCGTAATGGACTTGAGGTCGGCAAAATGTTTTTTCTTCAACGACAGAAAAATAATCCACATGCTGTGATGAAGGATGGAAAGAAATTAGCAAGTTTACGACGTGATGTCTCAAAAGTGCTAGCTCTCGTTATGGATTCACAGTCAGTGAAATGCTACATTTTGAAACCAAAGCTAAGTGCTTCAAACCCCCGGTTCAAACCACTCACCAAGGTATGGATCGTTGCAATATTGGATTCATCGTGAATGAAGAGAAAGCAGAACGTGTGCGCCACATGCTGTGTGGTTCATCTTACGTCGTTAAGTTCCAATGAGTTTTTACGTAAAAACACAAACAAAACGGCCCTTTTCAGGGCCACCACACACTCCAAAAAGAGAACTACCATAACAAACACACTATTTAAATAAATTGAACGCGTTCGTTTTTGACTAATAAAACTTTTTTGTTGACCCTGTTCTTGGCTAAAAATCACCCTGGGCATTTAACCGAGGATGTCCCCAACATGTAACTTTTGTGAAAACAGGGGGTGGGCGCTTGCCCAGGGAGGGGCGCGTGCCCGGGGTAATACGGTAGGTACCTGCAGGCATATTCATTAGTGAGAAGGAAACCAGTAGGCTATTTTTATTGGGTTGATAGGTACCTGCAGGCACATTCATCAGTGAGAAGGGAACCAGTAGGCTATTTTTATTGGGTTGATAGGTACCTGCAGGCACATTCATCAGTGAGAAGGGAACCAGTAGGCTATTTTTATTGGGTTGATAGGTACTTGCAGGCACATTCATCAGTGAGAAGGGAACCAGTAGGCTATTTTATTGGGTTGATAGGTACCTGCAGGCATATTCATTAGTGAGAAAGGAACCAGTAGGCTATTTTTATTGGGTTGATAGGTACTTGCAGGCACATTCATCAGTGAGAAGGGAACCAGTAGGCTATTTTATTGGGTTGATAGGTACCTGCAGGCACATTCAACAGTGAGAAGGGAACCAGTAGGCTATTTTATTGGGTTGAATGATACCTGCAGGCACATTCATTGGTGAGAAAGGAACCAGTAGGCT